CCTAATACACATCCGGAGGGGATCTTTAAGCTTTTTTCTACAGTTTCTACTGAAAGTCAGTTTGGTTGAGAGCGTGTGTTTGTGTGTGAAGGAACTGCAGGAACTACTAGAAGCCAGAGAGCAAGAGTGTGTCAGACTAAGGAGAGAGCTGAAAGAGCTTAAAAACACGGTCTCACTCAGACGTCTCCTGACACAAGGTAAGATCTCATCAGATCACCTGTGAAGGCACCGTACAGGTCTATTGCTGTTGTCATCATATGTGAAAGTCTTCTAGGTCATTGTATTTGTTGTTTACTATTAACTTTCAGAATTAAATGTTTGGTGGTCTCACTGTTTTTCTTTATCACTGAAAATACAACTTTTACGAATATATATAGTTTTGACTTGACATCACAGTATGTCGCTATGTTTGAATCATTAACTCATATTGCTCCTGAAATTATGATGTTAAAATGTACTTGAGAACAGATAAGTAAACATTATCATTAGAGAAATATCCTCATTAGATCAAAAGTTTACATAAATGACCTGATGAAGGTCATTTAAGACCAGATCAACCCTCCAGTTATATTGTCTCTTACATCTCTGTAGTCTTCAGTTTTTCAGTAGTTTGTGTTGATGATTTGATGTTTCCTCTTTCTAGTTCTCCCATCAGCTTTTACCCCAGAGACCTCCTCCTGTCCATCCCGACCGAAGCCAGCAACAGTGACTGGTTTACTGGAATGTAGGAAGAGAGATGAAACCAAACTCATCAAGAACCTCATCACAGGTGAGCTCGACCCCTGTCTGCCCTACTCATCTTCATCTGCCTTGTTGTATAATCCCCAGGGGTATGGCATATCCAAAGTGTTGAGGAAAAGAACATTTTACACTGGAACATATTTTTATATTGTTTCAATTATATTGTGTTTGTGGTTGTGACTGTTGTGAAACCACACAGTTTGCCCCTTTAGAGCAACAGTAACAAACCACATAAACAGTGAACATTAACAAACCCTATATTCAAGTTTTAATGCATAAAGTGCATCTATATAGGTCAAAGCCATAGTAGAAACTTGCATACTTACTCCTTACAAATATGTACGTTTAGTAGGTTAGTTTCTTAGTTTTTATTCAGTGGTTAGGTACAAGCAGAAATGAAAAAGACATTTGACATACAGTATATTTAAATGGAAACCTCTCTAGGCCTTACATTTTGTTTTATCGTCAATTAATCTGCCAATTATTTTCTTGGTTGTTAGTTGATCATTTGGTATAAAAAATGTAGGATAGTGGTAAAAAAACCCTGACATTCCTCAAGCCTAAGTTGCAAAACCCTAAAATTATTGATTCACTATCACATAAGAAACACAAAAGCAAATCCTCACAGTAGAGAGGCTTGTACGGGGGAATACGTCATTGTAGTTACTCCTTAAAGTTGCAACTGGAATAACACAGCGGTCTCCTACATGGGCTGTAAGAGGATTCTTTAAATGCTTTAGAAACCTTTATATGGGGTGACCACAGTTTTGTAGTGTACCCTCTATATATGTAGCATGATGTGAGAAGAACAAACTTTTACTGTAACTGTTACTTATATAGCTGACGAATGTGACCTGGCCTTGTTCTCTCTGCCATTGCTGCTCTCTCTGTCTATTGTCCAGACATCCGTGTTGACAGCGCCCTGTCTCTGCCTCCTGGTCTGCCTGCCAGCGTGCTCTTCCTGTGTGTTCGTCACGCCGACTGCAGCGGAGACCAAACTCACGCTCGCTCACTCTGTAGCGCTGCTGTCACAGCTATGAAGGCGGCTCTGAAGGTAACCTGAGTTCTGAATCTGCTCGGTGCACCATATGGTTGAGGTTTCATACGTAAGGGCAGATCTCACCTCGTGTCGGGTAGGTCAGTTAGGTCAGAGAATCATCGACAACTGTGACTTTGAAACACTTTCATGTGATTGTTTTGTCCTATGTGTGTGTCCAACCCCAACAATCTGGCCTCTAAGGAGAAAGTAATCCACAACAGAGGCTATATACCTCTCACACACACATATACAACATAATAGCACTGAGATATGTATTTGATTTGATCACATTTCATCTCATCTGTCCCTGCAGAAACACAGTAACGATGTGGATATGACAGCTCTGTGGCTGAAAAACGCTTATCTGTTGCATGATCTTTTGATCCAGCACTCCCCAAAACAGGTAGGAGGGACATGTATTTGTTATTTACATTTTACTGACCAAGATCATCTTTGTCCCTACAAACCACAGTGCTAAAATTCACCACCCTTCAAGATTTTTTCTTGTACACAGTCTCTGACTAATAGAATTAAAGGTCCAGTGTGTAACATTTAAGAGCATCATTGATTACTGACATACTGAAAGAATCTCAATACATTTTACTATGTGAATGTATGACTGGATTGATTACTTTTAAGACCCTTGACTCGGACAAACTGGTTCCACTGACCACGGATCTGAGTGCCTTGATCCGTGTCCTGAGTAACCTCTGTATCCAGGCCTATCAACAGCTCCTCTCCATCACTGAAAAACGTCTACAAAACATAATAGGTATCACTATAATGAAAACGATGCTGGTAATGCTGCCCACTCCATTGCTGCCCTTATTTAACCTCCTTGCTCACTCTCTCCCTCAGTCCCTGCTCTGTTGGAGAGCGAGACCATCCCAGGTCTGTCTGGCTCTGCAGTAAAGTTGGGAACGTCCAGAAAGCGAGCAGGCTCGGACCCCAGGACCGTAGGAGGTGACGCTCCCACTATGGCGTTGGTGCTGAGGGAGCTGGGAGCCCTGCACACTGCTTTGTCCCATCAGGCTCTGCCCCCGACACAGATGGAACAGGCCTTCCACCAGCTCACCTACCTCATCTCTGCCTCCGCTTTCAACAGCCTGCTGCTGAGGAAAGACATGTGCTGCTGGAGTCGTGGCATGCAAATACGGTAGAAATATGCACAAATAATCTACATATACAAGAAAATGTTTATCACGTGTGCAACTTTAAATTAGGAATTAATGTCATTTTTAAATTTAATGACATTAATTCTAATTAATTCTGATTTATTCTAATTCAATTTAATGTAAGTTATTTAGATTGAGTTGAATTATTTTAATTCAATTTATTTGGTGGAATTTGATTGAAATTAATTTATAATTAATTTTCCATTTAACTTTCTTTTCTTCATGTACAGTACTTTAATTACATTTTTATTTAACTTAATTTTTAATTTAATGTAATTAAGAAGTAGTTTTCTGTTATGATGTTCAGCTCATTTTACATTAGGAGAACATATCAGATCCATACCTGACTGTATAATAATATAATAAACCACAAACTAAACTTACTAAACATTACCACAGTTATACCATCAATGCCTCCCTGGAACAGTATCAATATTGACTATTTGCAATTATAAAGTAATATTTTATTGCAAAGCTAATGCATATATTGCATTACAGTGTGCCTATGTTCATATTATTACATGTGTAAACAGATTATTTATTAATCAGCCTGTCGTTTTCTTGTCATTAAGCTATAATGTGAGTCTATTGGAAGAGTGGCTGCGGAGCCGAGGTCTGCAGGCAGGGGGCGCTGTGGCCACACTGGAACCCCTCATCCAGGCAGTTCAGCTGCTGCAGGCAGGGAAAAAGTCGGAGGCGGACGCACAGGCCCTTGTTCAGACCTGCACTGCCCTGTCCAGCCAGCAGGTGCCTCTTTGTCAATCTCCATCTGCTTAAAGAGAGAAAGAACTGTTGTGCACTTACAGTATTTAACTGCCTGCTGGTGTCTGTTTTGTTGAACAGATTGTGAAGATTCTGACCCTCTACACTCCCAACAGTGACCTTGATGAAAGAGTCACACTGAATTTCATCCGTACTGTCCAGGTACAGTCTGCAGCTGCAAGGGTTTATGTGTTTATCAGTTTAAATTAGTGTGTCTCATGTGGGCGGTATTTTGTCTCTTCTAGGGGCTTCTCAAAGGCCATTCTGGCGGTCAGCCTCCACAGCTCCTGATGGATGTCAGGCGGGTGTTCCCTGTCACATTTCCCTACTTGCCTCCCCCAATCCTCCATGCTGAGCAGTTAGTCATCCCAGACTCCCTGAAGATCTCCTTCCTGCGCAGAGCCTAAAACACAGGATGTGCAGTTGGGCCTCTTTAGAGCAAATATATTAATGTTTAGCAAATTTAACTCCCAACCTATTGAATTCAGTCCTTTAAAATTTAAATCACTTCCCGGAGGTGTTGTGAACTTCATTCAGATTTTTGAGTGGAGGCACTAACTTGTTTAATTAATCTGTTAATTATCAGTGGATTAGTCTGTGAACTATTTAAGGTCAGAGGTTATGTGAAACATTTACATCTCAGTTAATTAACTGGTGAGTTTAAAATGGCACAAATCAAATGCTAATGCAGAGCAGGAATATGAAGTATTTCTTTAAAAAAAAGGTTTTTAAAAATTTTTAATTGGGCCGTTATGTAATAAGAAATAGCAAAGGTGCAGCTATATCTCAGTACAGTTAGACAAATAAGGAAGGAAATACATTTTTTTTAAATATTTTATTGGAAGCAGAAACACAATGAGACTGCAGTCCCAGTAACCTCAACCCCCAATAAGAACAACCAGAATAAAAAAAACCCAAAAAATTAGAAACATCTCGTGTATAAAAAAATTCTCATGCGAGTACTTTGTACCACTACACATCATCAGTAATACATATTTATATATTCACAAACATTTGAAAAATAGAAAACAATAATGAAATATCAAAATTAAGGAGACAACAATTGGCATCAAAACATCAAATAATTATGCGTGCTGGCACAATACATTTTTTTCTTTTTGTTTTATTGTTCCTATCATGCACCATTTCTGGAAGTACAGGACTGGCGTCGCTGTGCAGTGTGCAGCTGTCTGTCTGTGTGGCCTGGTCAGCTAGACAGAACAGATCATGCATGTCTGTCCACTTTGTGTCTGTGTGCTTTTCATTGTGCTTCTAACATTTATCCTCGTCCTTAACTTCTGTGTGCATTCCTGTTCCACATGCCAGTCCAATACCCCAACACGCAAACTGAGCCTCTGAAGGAGTAGGAGGAGGAGGAATTCCCTCGACTAAAATATCATTGTCAACAGCAATAAATAAAGATTTTTTTTTCGTGGCATTTCCAGCTATGTGACAGTTGTGTACCTGTTATTTAAAGTTATTAAAATACTGTGCAGATGTCCCATAAATAGAAGACCTTGTACACACCAGCGATTAGATAGGTAGTTTTTCCACTGTATAGTCTATATGAAAGCAGAATAATTCCAGTGTAAAAGGCAGAAGCTAGCTGTGTATATTTATTTCTTAATGAAGCCCATTAAATAATCAGATTTGTGCAAATTGCTTGTCATTTATCTCCAGTGTGTACATGGCCTTCCTATATCTTTCAATAATAGCTACATATCCAGATTGGGCACTAGCACACACATAATTCCCAACTGCCCGGTCACCCAGAACAAAATTCAAGTCTACAAAAGAGCAGCAAACTTCACTTCACATAGTCTGACGTGTGTTTGTTACATCTGAGCTATTTACAATGCCAATCAACAACAATTGATCTCTCTGTTCCAGATTATTTTCCTCTGCGCTGAAAAGCTGCACAAAAAAATTTCCGTCTCTCATCAGCTCTACTACAGCTGTGATATTTGGCCCATTACGATAGAGACAGCATGTACAACATATCAGACAAACACGTGTGCTGATATAATAAGAATAATAATCCACAATGTAAACATTATAAGACTGCTTCAAAAAAACGGCTCATCTACATAGATTTTTATAGATTAGATGCATAGAGTTCAGTTCTTACACCTTGTTCAAAAGAGAGGGGGTCTGTTATCTTATTCATTTACGATCAAGTGCTTTGGGGGTAGAGGCCCTCACCAGTGGCAACTGAGGCAAAAAGAGGCAGAACACCCTGTCAGTATTAAACTTGGAATCATTTCCTCACCTGGATGCTTTTAAGTTCAGAAAAACATACACACCTCTCAAAGAAATAAACTGATTAACATTATTTTCCTTTTTTTTAAAAAAAGAAAAGAAAAGGGCATTCATGAACATAATAATTGAATTAAGAGACATGCCGGAAAATTCAAAAGGCAATTAAAAACATTTAGTTTCATGTGAAATTGACTCTTCATTAAAGAAAGAAATGTAACTGAAGCCTTGATGTGTACTTCCTGTCATTCCATAAACAATTACTGAAAAAACTAACAATAGAAAGTATAAATGTGTTATTACGGGTGCATTAAAGACCCCTGTGCTTCTAAATCTTCACACTACATCTCTACTAAACTGTAGGCCCTCTTTTAAATGTCAGCACCAGACCTGGTGTGGTCTGGTTCTGCAGCCCTTTAGCAGAGGTCTGACATCTGCAGTGTCAGGGATCAGGGTTACAGCTTCTGCAGCTGGATCATTAGGGGTTGTGGGTGGCTGATCATTACAGATTTGTGCTCTCCCTGGGGTGCAGGGTGTGTTGTTTTGTAACCCACGTAGATATTTATCTTCGGAGGATGTTGCTTTTGCAAAATAGGATCTCAGGGGTGTTTTTATTCATCCTCTTACATGCAGGTTTTGATTTGGCAGTTTTTCTTCTTCCATCGTGCACCTCTTAACACACCCAGTATAGGTCTGTCTGTGGAATGTTTACAGTAACACAATAAAGATAAGATATAGGACGCATCCTCCCCAAAGTAAAATACACTTACAAAATCTAAATGAACACCCCCCTCTGTGTGATGTTCTTTGCTTGTGATGGCTTCCTGTGATTACATTTGCAGGTAACAGGCAACACGGGCGGCTACATGAGGTCAACATTAGAACATCTTACATGTGATGAGCTCCACACATGCTCAAATTATACACTCGGACACGATCACTCTCACACGCATGTAGTCTGATGAATCACAGTGCTTAAAGGCGCGTCTTCATCAGATTAATCTCTCTATACAGTCACTATACAGGAAACAGACAAACTGTACGAGGGTCAACAAGACAGAAGGCATTGAGGGTGTCAGGCAGTGTGCTCTGTTACAGGGTAGACGGACATAAAGACGGACAAGGACAATCTTTCATCCATCGAATAATCCTGTATATAACTTTACATATCTCCTTCATATATATTATGATATATATATATATATATTTAGATATAAATATAATTTGGAAGAAAGCAGTAAATAAATATTAAAAATTATCATAACTAAATAGTGCTTTGTTCCCAGTATGTGTTCGCCACCCAATATCTGGAATGTTTGAGGCCTTGCAGCCGTTGCGTTGTTGTTAATGGGTCAGTTGGACAGTTGGTCCTGTTGTGCTTAGGGCTCGTCTTGGCATATTTCAGTGATTATCTGTTGGCACTTGCGGTCCCCTTCTCTGAGCGGGTGCAGGCCAGGGAAGGGATGAGAGGAACTGGAAAGGTTGAGGGGGTAAAGTAAAAAGGCAGAAAAGAAAAGTGAGAAATAAAGCCAAAGTATTAAAGGCTACAAGATATTTCTCACCCTAACCGGTCAGACGAAGCGTGTGTGTGTGTGTGTGTGTGTGTGTGTGTGTATGGCATGACTCGCCTCTGTGGATAGAGGACAATAGATAGATGCTCAATGTTTAAACTCTACATACTGTTCATCAAAAGGATGGACAATAATATCTGCAACAATAAAGACATTGGTGCTTTTTTGAAGAAAATGAGAGATGACTTGTTCAGCACTGTGTCCTTCCCACTGAAATAGATGTATTTACAGCACTAGATGTGTGGTGACTGTTGTCTTATCTGTGCTTTTACAACACTGGATCATCAGGGCAGTGGCTAGCAGTGGCTCAGGGAAAACACCAGGGCAGTAGGATGTCTGATTTGAGCTTCAGACAGGGGTCGTTTTAAAAAAAAATATGTCTTGTCTCTTAGCTGCGGCCCTCCTCTGCAGAGCGCTGGTCAGACTTGAGCTTGACAAACTCCTTGGCCACGTCGTCGTTGTTGCGTTGGGAGAGGATACGGAGGACAGTGAGACCCGTCTCGTCCATGTGGATGCGTTTACCCAGCGGCAGCCAGCAGGCGACGCTGCCTTTGGAGGCCATGTCCTTCAGCTGCAGGACGGCCATGCCCACGGTGCGGTCCTCTCGCGCAAAGCAGTAGTCCTTTACACATACCTGCAGCTCGTAGCACTCGGGGCCCACCTCGTTACTCAGTGTGCTGCAGTGTGGAGAGGACAGGCAAGTTTGCTCATTGTAATTTTCTACAACCTTAAAAGAAAAAACAACCAATCACTATCAGCGTTATTACTCACAAAGTGAAGGTTTCGTTATATTTGGGAGCCCAGCTGTTGTTCTTCGACTTGGTGGCGTACTTCCTCTTCTTGTCGCTGAGGTGAGGGCCGATGATATAGACCTCCACAAATGGCCGGAATATTCCCTGCGTCTGCCACCTCAGGTCATTGGCAGCCACCACTGAGACAGAGATGAAAGGAAGGAGAGTGGAGAGGTGTGGGTAAGAGAGAGAGAGAGAGAGATTCATGTGGAGAAAATGTATGAGTGAAGAGAAAATTCAGAACAAGAAAATACTGGCTGTCCCTAAGGCCTCATATCCAGCTCCATGGTAAGATAGTGAAAGGGGAGAATTGGGAATTTATTTCATTACAAAGTTTTTCTTTGGCACTGGCTGTTATTCCTATCTCATATTATGACATTTACTACTAACTTTAAAGCTCTCACTCATTTATTTATTTATTTTTCTTTGCTAGACCATCTCCAGGACGTCTTAGTGATCATTTATACCCTTATATAGACTGTATACTTCAACAATACACATGTAATATCCATTCAACTAATCATTAGACTGGCTGCTCCAGTGATGACTTAGGGGAGTGAAACCTTTTTTTTTTCTGTTGATCATTGTTAAAAAGCCACACCAAATTTACCTTGATTCAATGTAAAACAATAAAATGTGAGGGGGGTAGGGTATATTTTTGCATGTTTAGCAAAGTAGTTTGAAATTACTGGTTGAAGTCACAGGATTTCTTCTACTAAACTGTCCTTAAAAAAAGAATGAGTGAATGTGTTCATCTGCTCTCTCTTCATGAAACGGCTCCTAAAATTATTTAAAGCTGTGTGGTTATTTTAGCTTTTATTAAAGGCTCTTGGCTCATTACAGAATTGTGTTTGCTCTGTCAAAATTAGATTTTAACTGACTCACGCATGCTGGATTGAGGCTGGAATTTCTCGCCTTTGTGATTTTGATGGTTTATATTTTTGCTCTGTGTTGAAGAATATTTTCTGTTTGTCTGAATTCTACGTTTCTGGCTAAACAAGCAAAAAAATTCAAAATAGCAATCTCAATGATGTTTATTTGTTTACATTAATTTGACGTATGTAAACAGGTTGTTTGCTACATTTCAAACATACAGATCGTTTGGCATCCAAGTCAAGATCATCATACTAGCTTTTTCCAGAGAAACAAAATCTTTTCCTTTACCTTTCACTGTGACCTTGTGCTCTCCAGTGTTGGGGTGAGTGAAGATCTCCACATGGATGGACACCTCTCCAACAGCATCGTCTACCCCAGAGCCTGACAGGACAGACAGAGGGCGAGGGGGTCATTGTTAGTGCCGTTAAATTTGGAAACATGGACTCTGTGCGCTTCTATCACAGACCAAACACTGACACAAACCACTGTGCCCTCTATTCCAAATCCTCCTCTTCATTTTGAAAGGTTACAGACCAATTCCATTTCAATTTTAGAAACGGCACATTGAAATGGATTTGACTATAACCCTTTGGATATCACACAGAATATTGACAAGGCAAACATTTCTTTATACTAATCACTGTGTAAGAGGAGGACTTAAAATAAGGTATAGTGGTCTGCTTGTGCATATGTTGTGGTCTGGAAGTGGACAATCAGACAAAGCTGCTATGAGTGGGCATAAGCACTTTAATATAGGTAGTACTGCCAGTCGATGTAATGCAGTATAACTATAATACATTTACTGATGAACTAAGTGGCAAAACACCTCTCCAGTCCAGTGGATAGTTTCGTACTGACCTGAAATAGCTGTATTAATTCCTTCAGTAAGGCATTCTGCATTATCATTAGACACTGACTGAATAGCCTTTGTACAGATTCAGCGAACTGAGAGGTAATAATTTGGATCTAGTGAGGACGGTAATTTGTGCCCACTCATAGACGCAAGGTGTCTGTTAGGATGCAGGGTGGTTAGTGAGAGGCAGAGAAGAAGACAGGAGAGAAGCTGGAGAAACTGACAGTGTGGTTCCCCCGACATAGATCAGGTCAGGACATGCTCAGATGGATCGAGACAGGTGGACACACCCATTCCTTGGTAAACATTTTTACCCAAGCATGGTAAGAGGAGAGACGAGAAAGAGGAAGGAGCTAACGGAGGGAGAAGTAGTTCAGCCTCTCAGATCTGTCGATGAAGGATGGCACGACTGATACCCAACTTTCTACATAAAGTGTGTCTGGAAGACTCAAGTTCAAGTCCAGATCCGTATTTTTCAAGTATGTTTTTACTTTATCACCTAATATTGTCATCATGTTCCTCCGCAGTGTAGTTTTACTATTGCTATTCATACACAGGACTATATTGCATGTCTGTACATCCTGGAAGAAGGTTCTCTCCTCTGTTGATCTTCCTCAGGTTTCTTTCTTATACGACTACAAGACTAAAATTTTACTTGTAATATTCTAACCTAACTAGTAGCAAGTGGTTAAAGTCAAAAGTTTCTTTGCATTTAAACCCCAAATACCAAATATATTTAAGTCGATCCATCCCCCAATCCAAGATATTTCAACTCTGGATCTGGACCCAAGTTCAGGTCTTAGGGTCCGTGGTGCCGTTCTTGTGGCTGTAAGATTATTTTGAGGTGAAGAAGAAAGTGATGGCACCACTTAGGCTCCAACTCTTGTCTGGGAGGGAGATGGTGGACAAATCTTTCCTCTGTGTCACTGTGTGGTTTTGTGCTGCATGTGAACAAGTGGTTGAGATCCACATACAACTCCAGAAGGATACGGTGACAGATGGACATTAATTTTCAATGTTTTAATTAGTGTCTACACTCTGTCAACGGTATCTTTGTGGCGACGACCAGCAGCCTGCGTGTGTGTTTTCGACCATCCGCCCACTAAACAAGGTGTCTGTGGGAGTTAGACGGCAGAGTGTTCCTGGCATGCAGCTTTCTGCATCTCTCCAGGGAGCATTATGGGATTGTTGGTCTCGCTGCCAACAGGACCAAAGAGAGCAGCAGTCATCCATCTGGCCTTGTCTACTCAGTGGAGGACATCCATAAAAGATGAGAAAGAAACTTTGCTGGCTGGAAGGCAGGAAGATGTTGCCAAGAAAACACAGGCTTTTCTTCTTCAGTACAACACAGCAATCAGACGTGCAAATTTAGTACCATATTGCAAATCTTCACCAGAATAGACATTTATTCTAAACTTGTACTGCGATTCTGCCATCACCAGAGCTTGCTGAATATTCACAAATGACCCATGGTTATTTCAATTACAAATAGTGCAGCTCATAGCCTGCAGTGTGTAAGAATGGTATTCATCAACCGCAGTCGACTTCATAAGAATAAATTCCACTGAGCTTCGTTCAGTCATCTTGCTCTAATCATCTACTCTAATACGGTTGGAAAAACTATCCAGTGAAATCTGCTTGGCAGGAAGTTAATTTGCATCCCTGTTACAGTCAAGGACATCCAGCAGCTCGCGGGAAGGCTAAAGACACACTACTTTGTTTTCTATATATACCTCCACTGTGGAAGCATTACAATTTAAATTTCATAAGCAAATGAATACCTAAATGTGAAATGTAAATGTGTGCAGACAACTTCATTTGAGTGCATTAAAGTGATTAAATGTTTTAGTTTGAAATTTCTGAATTTGTGTGGTCTGAATTCCATTTAAATGTCCAGAAGGTAAGTTCTGCAATTTCAAAAACTTGATTTAAACACTCTTTTAGGGGTCAGACATAAAGTCTAAGCATCAAAAAACTATATTCAAGTTTCTTAAATTCATAATTTTCTGGTCTAAAAAAAATCTAACTTTGTATGCAATATATATGCAACTGAAAACCCTGAAATGTTTTCTTTCTGAATTTGTGAACCCAAAACCCAACCTGGTTTATGAAATTGCAAAACCTACTGGAAATTTCAAAGAGGGCAAATCAGACCACACAAATTCAGACAGATGGATTTAAAAGTAGTAGTGTAGTGTTCAATTTCACGATTAGGTGCTTTGCTTTCATACTTAGGAGCCTTAACCATTTTACATACCACTGTTGTCCATCTGAGGGGACTGTCAGTGGTGCAGCGTCAAATGAATTCAATACACAAACTAAAATAGCTGAATGCATACAGCTGCATCATCCCGTGTGAATGTTTGTGAGCAAGAGTCAGATCTTTTGATACTAATCTAAAGTGACAGAAATCAGACCACCTGACCTGAGGGACTGTTTCTGATTGGCTCAATCTGTGGTGAGGGGATGAGTTGAGCACCCTTTATCATCATTGCTGCAGGGAGGGCCATGCTGCACGTGGGGGCGAGTTGTGTGCGTATGTCTATCTCTGTCTTTGGTTGTGTGACGGTAGAGCAGGCAAGGACAGGGAGCCCTCCCAGACAAAGTAGAGCCAACAGCCATCATCATCTTCAGAATAATCCTAGTCCTCCTCATCAGCATCTCTCATTTCAAACACAGTGGGAGGGGCGGTAACATCGGGGAAAAGGATTTCCTCTCTGGTTTTCCTCGCTGGAGACAGACAACGCTCATGTTTCTGCTTCAGCAACCTTAATGACAGTCTAACTCAGTCACATTGGTTTTGCTCAGTCACTCGGTCTTCTTCTCGCCCATGTACACACACACACACGCACACACGCTCGCTCGGCCCTCTGGCCTCTGTCAGTGACATCATGCTGGATAAGGATTCCTCCACACGTTAATGCATTTCTATTCTTTTTGTCTGATGTCAGCACATCATGCTTTTAGTGTCTGCTCATACATACAGTCCATGGCGTATGTATTCAGTGCAGTTCCGTACAGACATCAGTGTGTAGATTACATGCATGAATGCATAAAATCTATGCTCTTATTGTTGTGGTGGGCATGTGTGTGTGCAAAAATGCAGAGATAGAGAGAAAAAGAGAGAGGGAGTATGTTCAGTCTGTGCATTGCATTTGTCTGTTGGGATGAGTTTGAGCAGGCAGGGAAGTTTTGAGGATGCACATGGGGGGAGAGTGAGGGTGGAGGGAGTTGGGCTTTGGTCTGGAGGCTTTCTGGTGGTCCTGGATGTCTCAGGCCCTGAGCCTGAGTGCCACATACCCTTGTCTGGGTAAACATCCTCACTAGTGGTGAACCTCACCCCCTTCCCGCCGAACACTGGCCCACAGACGGGAGTAGACAGAGAAAGGAGAAACACGTAGAAATATGAGGTTTGCAGAGGTTGAATTTAAGAATTACAGAGCAGAAAAACAGACCAACATATATACGTATTGCACCTGAAGATGGTAGTGATCCTGATAGATAAATTGTTCAGCTCAGTTCTTCCGATCTGCTGTGCAATCCTGTAACATGCAAAGCTCAAACGGACCCACTGCTGTAAAATGTACTTAGATATGCTCCAAAAAGCGCAGTGCATTTTGCTAATTAAATTTTAAACTACCATCCACTCAAATGGCATTTCTACCAGCGGTGCTCAGGGACAGTGTGTCAGAATCAGCGCTTCCACAAAGATGATGGCTGTTATGTAGCCATCTGACGGTAGGATGGAGGCTGAGCAACAGAATCAAAGGAGCGAGAGAAAAGAGGGGGTGGGTATTTATTTTTTCATTGCAAATAGCTGTCAGATCATGTAAAGAATAGCCTCTGTGTTTCTGGAAGCTGGCTACCAGGAGACTCAGCATTTCAGAGCAGAGAGAAAATATTGTGCATCTACATCCTCGACTTCATGCTCTACAAAGCATGTGATATATTTTCAGGATATAGAGCTCAGTGTTTGGGAAACCCTAACATCAACAGAGGAGTGGGAAACACTGAGTGTAATAATGTAACATTAGAAATAAACTTGTCAAATGTAGATACTGTAAACAAAGAGAATCAGAAAGTTCCTCAAAAACAGAGATAGGGAAGAGTGTCACACAGTGAGTAAAGATCATTAGGTTACCTTGTGCGTTCTGTGACTGGACAAAGGTTTTAATGAGTTTGTCTGTAGCCTGCGTGTAGAGTGACAGGGCGTAGTGGAGGGACTGGAGGTCAGGACTCTTCTCCAGGAACGTCTTCTTCAGACCGACACCACCAGCATGGAAATATTGCTAACATACACAAAGGCAGACAGACAAACAGATTTGACAGTCAATTCATTGACGGGGTATTATTTGAACACTATTTGGGTAATTGATTAATCCTTATTTTTCAAACAAAAATGCCAAATGTTAATGGATTTAAGTTGTAAAATCTGGGAATAAGCTGCTTATCTTACATTAAAGTAAACTGAATATTGTTGGGTTTTGGACTGTTGGAACTAACAAGACATTTTATGACTTTATTTTGGGCTCTAGGAATTTTTCACAGTTTTCTCATGTTTTATAGACAAAAGGATTAATCAATTAATCAAAAAAATAGTTGGCAAATACTTCAATAATGAAATATAATTGTTAGTCGCGTAATATAGCTTGTAAAACAAGACTTTGCCAGAAGTGATTTTTTTGAGTTGCTAAAAATTCTAATCTACTAACAACAGCTAAATCAAGGCCCTGAAAAGTCTTGTAACTTGTAATTTCATGTGTTCATACATATACATATGGAAAAAAAATGATTCTAAATGACATTTTCTGTAGGTTAAATGTATCAATGCATCAATCACAGAGCTGGCAAGGCCACAAAAAAAACACAAAGTCTTATATGTTGGGGTATTATACACCACACCCTAGATGCCCCTGTTTTTACCTTAATGGTGTCCAGGGCCAGCTCTATCACAGCGCACTGCTTAGGTGTGAGCGCTTTGGCCTCCTCACGAACCATATGCTCCTGAAGACGACAACAACAGAAGCACAGAACAAAATGACCAGTCTGTTGATTAATATGCCCTGTCTCATATTTTGTGAGCAATCAGTCTTGATCTGAAGCACTGATGCCCGGCCAACAGCCTAATGGTGTAAAAACATATTGTACCTTCAGCTTGGACAGCTGTCCCAGCTCCTTGGCTGCGTTAAAGATGAGCTGAGTGCCCTGGAAGAGACAGAAAGATAGGAAGAGAAGACGGATAGAAGAAAGGCAGAGAGAAGGGGGAGTATTGTTATTATCGTGACAATGCAGGGCAGCAGTAAACGGCTTAGTGTCACACAGAGGACAGCGACGTTTCTGACACACACATTCATAAACAGTCACTCTAAGCCGCTTTACAGATGTCAAGGTACTTTCTCCTTCAAGTGTTGTTATCACACTTATCTGTGTTTTATTCATTCCAAAACACTACACTCTCCGCTGCACACACACACACAGAGTGAGACATTTCAGTACGAAGAGAAGGGAAAGTGGCTCAGCTCGGAGTGAGGGCAAGAAAGAAGACGTTCTCGTGCACTCATGAACACACGTGCAGACACACACACACACACACACACACACACACACACACGTAGCAGCTATGCAATTACACTGAAGTGTACGCAGGTGGAAGTCCAGCCTAATTCAATACTCTGGCCCACCGCACCTTCACACCCTATCTCTGATTACAGCTTTAGACATGAAACATGCTTTTATTATATAATGTACAAGGCTAGAACTTATTTAAGTTTTAATAAACTGATAATGAAACATCACAATCATTTCTTAATGAAACAAAACACATACAAGAATTTCTGTGCATAAGAGATTCATTATTCATTAGAAATATTACAATAGTGTGCACTCTTGAAACTGTGATGTGTTTATTTATGTGTTTCAGATACTTTAGATTCAGTCAGACGACCATGGGAGAGTAATGCAGCCACCCTCCACTGCTATGCTATGTTAAACTGACAGAAGATATGATAGACAGTGGTGCCTTTTGTTTCAGGAGCTGCTGTGAGGAAAATAACTACTTTATGGCAAAATTTCTGACCCCACAAGCAGGCTTTTGCGGCTAAAATGCATCATAAAACGCAAGTGCCAACCATTACTTGCTTGCAGCTTTGCATCATGAAGCTCAGCCACTTTGACTTGCATTGCTACTTGCAGCTGAACCACACCTTATTTTATCTTTACTGTGTTAAGTTGCAGCGACGTAGATAGCAATCATGAAACAAAACAGTTTTGATGTTTTTTTAAATCCAAGTGAAATTAAGAGTGACTCCTTGTTTGTGATGCATTTGAGCCGCAAATGTCCACATTTAGATTAGAGTGTATGACCTGTGGTGAGGCTGGGAGTGTAGGCGGCTACTGCTACAGCAATTCACAGCATATAAACAGCACTACAGAGGAATGTTGGGTAAAAACAAAAGTGAAAAATCAATATTTCCACTGCTTTGTTTGACTGGCGAGCTGAGGGAGAGAGACGGAGACACCAAGAGAAGACATAGAGGAGAGAGACAAGACACATTGATCTTAAGGGGTTTAGTCCTTACATCACTGTGAGAAGCACTCTTCAGCCTCCCCTGGAAAGAGAGCATGTGGTTAATACTTCAAGCAGTGGCCAGTCCCTGCAGTCTGACTTCACTCTCATTGGCTACATGAGAATACGCATTTAAAAGTGCATATGTTGCTTTGCAAAATGTAACAAAAAAATAAAATAAAATCAAGATACTTGTCACTGTGAGAGATGTCACCTCCTTTCAGTTAGCTAATTTGCTTGCCATCTAAAAGCAACAACAGCGATTTTGTGCCTTACCACAAAACAAAGGAAATATGGTTTAACAAATTGCCGGTTGGCAGAGCAAGAACATCATACATGCTGACAGGAGTAAATGGATGCTGACAAAATGTGCTTTGAAATATGCAGGTGACATTTGCTTTCACTGCATAGTGTTCAAATCCATTTTGACAATCTCACATTACTGTGCTTGTATTGTATTGTATTGTATGGGAGGCTATTATAGGAACGCTATATAGGACCCGTGATACTGGGGCCAGGTCATTTGTAATTAGTTTGCATGCTATTTACAGCAAAAACAGTGACAGGAAACAAAGAGTATTGTACAGTAAAAATCTAAATGTAACTTGATGACATAAAGAAACAACCTTTCCTCAGAATTGAATAAAAGGTATAATAAAGAAATAGTTTGACATGTTAGGAAATATGCTTGTTCGTCATCTTGCCCAGTGTTAGATGAGGAGATTGATTCTGCTCTAAAACTGTGCGTTAAGTACAGAGGTAGAGCAAGAAGAGGATTAGCTTAGCATGCAGAGTGGAAACAGTAAGCCTGGCTTTATTCACAGGTAAGAAAATCTACCAGCACCTCTAAAGCTCACTGATAAGCACATGATATCGTTTTTGTTTAATCCGTAGTTGGTGCCAGAACTATGTCACGACTCTAGGAGGGCACTGTGCCTCGGCTGCTGGTCGCCAAGAAATGGAGCGTAGTAGAGCACATGATCCACAACCTGTCAATTTACCATTTTTGTTGGTGTATGGATTAAACAAACATGATATAACATGTTAATAAGTGAGCTTTAGAGGATTTTTTAAGATAAAAATCACAGAATATATTAAAGCTCTATGTGATAACTTGGCACAACAGTGGCACCTTGGACAGAATGTCCGAACTGAGTGACTCAGTGTTGATAATACAAAGGTTCTTATGAGTAACATTTTCAGAACAGGAAATTTACTTGTACTGGATTTTCTTTCAGTGTGGTCTTTTTTTTAACCTAAATAAAGGAACTGAATACTTTCTCCACCACTGTTTGCGTTCGATGTTAAACAATAAACAAGTGCCACAGATAACGTCGACCAAGAAACCGACATCAATTCTGTTCATTAGAAAAAAACAATAGCACATCACTTCTGTGCGTCACTACAGTTTCTTGCCTTTGTACTATGAAGTATACCTTAGATCAGACTATTCTAAAATGTCTTATTTTAAACTAGATGCTTCGTTATGTTCTGTATAAGTCAGTAAAAATAAGCTTCTTAGTACATTGAATGCACCCTTTTGACCAACATCAGTTCAAACCAATACCGTCTTGTAAGAAAAGCCATTCTGTGCATCACGACCAGTGACATAATACCAGCATTACAATCATCATACTAACAACAGAACATTAAATCAAACCAGGACAGACCAACATGACAAGGTCTGCAAAGACATACAGTACAGTGTTGTACAGTATACTGAGAGAAGACTGCAGTTTTGAAATAGATCAGATGCAAGCAACAAACCCACAGTGGGCGGTGGGGGGGTAGGGGGGCAGGACACAGTTCAAACAGGTGGGGACAGTGGGGGGAGGGCAGAGGTTTAGAAAGGAGGGAAAAGGGGTGGTGGGTCAGGACACCAGATACCAAACCACCGTGAGATCAGAGTCACACCACCAGAGTCTCAGTAAAAGGACACAATGCATGAGAAGAAACAAGGCAACACCAGGCGCAAGAGAGGAGTACCACTTCCTGTTTGAGGAGAGTGTTCAGGAAGAAGAGACAGCAGAAGAGGGGGGCATTGATCGGTGGAGATTGTTGGGGGTGGGGGGTGGGACCTATCAGAACCAGTCAGGAATGCACCATGCTTCTGTATTCTCATAAGAGAGACAGTGTCGGAGAGGAAAACAAAAGAGAAGAAGAAGAAGAAGAAGAAGAAGAAGAAGAAGAAAAGAAGAAGAGAACAGAAGAAAACAAAAGAAGAAATGAAGGAGAGATGGGACAGATCTGAGAGGTGAGGCTGTGAGAAGGGAGAGGGTGTGATGTGGGGTAAAAACAGGGGAAGATCGCAGCCACATATAGCAGAGAACCAACCACCGTGGACGGACAGACAGACACACACGCAGGAGTGCTGTACTTACAATCATCTGTGGAGGGAGAGCGGTGGGAGCGGGATGTAATAGTAATCACAACAACAACCAGAGAGAAGGGTCAGTCAAGCTGCAAAGAGCCCCACATCAGTCAAAAAAAACACAAGTTTGGGCCCCAGAGCTGGAGGAACGTGGACAAATTGATACCCGTCTAAAGCCTGAACTAAGTACAGGTAGGCCAGCCAATAAGTAACTTTACTGCTCCAAAATTTCTTAGAATATAGCAAATAGGGGTTTTAGCTTTTAATAGCAACTTCAGATGAAAAGGAAATAGCTATTCTAGAGATGATCATGTGGCATTTGCACACATTCAAAGCTCACTATCTTCTTTCTTTTTTCCACTTGGATGAACTCAATTGGACAGGAGCTACCTGCAGGCCTGTGGCTACTGAGGCTGAACCAGTAGTGTTGATACTGGCTAGCGCCGTACATGGTAACCAGAGATTAATCATCACCATTTTAACAGTGATATGAGGCTCTTTAGTTAATAACCAAACACAAATAAGAACACATATATCCAAAACAAAAGAAAACAAGAGGCTGCTTTCCAAAATGTGTGATTCTTTTTGGAAGTGGGCCAGATCCTTTGGGCAAAATTTTTTTCTGCCACTCTGTTTTGAGTTACTCATAAATCAGGAATCTCTCCAAATATTTTTTGGCTGACATACTGGAGAGCAGCCATGAGCTGGTGTTAGAATGATATGGTGCACTCCTTTTTTCTTCGTTTTCCCCAGTTTTTAATTTTTTAAAAGGGTTTCATCTTGATTGTTTGGATGAATGAAGGCACTGGGGGCAATGTTAAATATAATGTGTGTAGGGGTTAAGACGTGGATAGGATGCCATGTAGATGTGTGTTTGTGTTTGTAAGAGGACCATCTTGAACCGCAAAACACACACAAAATGTCTGGCTTTGTATTGCCTTTCCTCATTCTCCACCTCCTCCTTTTTCTTTTCATGCAGCCATGGGAGTTGGAGGTGTGTTTATTTGTGCATGAGTGGGTGTATGTGTGTTACATGTTTTGTAAAAATTTTTTTTGCTGTGGTCATCATCTCTTTATAATTCACACTTACTTAGAATAATCAGTAAGCCTTCCGGAAAACAGATCCTAGTGTATGTGATATGTCTGTTGTCCTTGCATGTACAGCAGGCAAAGTCAGCAATGAGTGTGTGTATTGTATATTTGTATGGTTGTATGCCTCTGTGTGTGTATTTGTAGGTCTGAGTGCTCTCACCGTTTGGTCTGTGAGCGGCGGCAGAACAATGGTCTTCTCCATGGTGTTCATCACCAGCTTCCACAGCTCCTTTAACACACGTTTCAGCACAGTCTTCTCGCAGATCTTAGCAAACAAAGTCAGGCTGGTAGGAGAGGAAGACAGGAAAAAAAAGGAAGGGCAGGGGGATGAAAAATAAGCAGCAGAAGGAGGCAAATGCTGTTTCCCTGAAGAAGAAACCGGAAAAATTGATAGTTCCTTTAACCCCCTGCTTGCCTCATGGATGCCTTTCTTAATTTTTGTTTTGTTGTTGTTATGTATTATAGCAGTTTGACTGTTGAGTAATAATATTAGCTGGACACAATTCATTCATGAAGAAATTCCTCCTAAAAGTAGGGGAATTACATAAAAAATCAGTGTGTGGTCTAACTCCTCCTGGGCTGGAACTTTACACACTGAGACAAAAACAGTGGGAGAGTAGGTAAAATAACGAAATGTTCCCAAAGCTGAACCATCTCTTTTTTAGACTCCACTAAAAATGGCAGACTGCCTCACTTGCTGTCCAGGAACTCCATGATAGGCTGCAGGACGTTGTCTGCATCCTGGGCCACGCTGCTGGCATTTCCCACGTTTGAGGTTCCCTTCACCTGAGCCAAGATGTCTCCCATCTGCTTCACATTCTCCTCTATGTGAGGCTGGAAGCTACAGAGAGAAATGTGGAAGACACGCTTAATGAAGTCCGTCGGTCTAAATATACATCACAGTAATGTCAGAGTGTTTCTACCTGACAGAAAAGACCCTGCTGAGATCATCCATGACATTGTTGAGCTTAACCTGCAGGTCTTTCAGGATATCGCTGGCCTCCACACACAGCTGAAGTACATACATGGAAACACACACACACAGAGCTGGTTGGACTGATTGACAATAATGACACATTTGGATCAAGAAAACTGTCTGTACTAGGCAACTGCAACCAAATACTAACATACTTGCACAAAACTAAGCTAGTGAACAATACCGGTTGGGAGTTGGAACAAAAAAAAACAGACAGTGACTCACATCTTTTCCACCCATGGCTTCAAACATCTTCTCCAGCTGAACTCTCAGCTGTTGGATGTTGTTGATCAGGATGCAGGGCTGAGGACAGAAAGATGACACATGTCTGTTTAAAACAAACAGTGCTCTCTAAAAGATTTACAACTGGATCAGCCTTCTTGATAGTGCAGATGGTGTCTCCATCAAGTCTTCGACCACTCACCACTTTCTCCATGGTGACATAGTTGGCAAACAACTTGGAAATTATATCAGCATAGGAGAGAAGTACATTGCTGATGGTCTGGAGAGAGAAACATGAAAGAGCAACAGGTCATAGAAATCGGCAGTTTCAGAATTTAAGAACTATATTGTTACTTGTAACAAAAAAGTACTTTTAAAGACCCATTTGTTGTTTATAAAGTGTGGTTTGACGGCAAATTACAATTTTACTACCTTAGCAAATCGCTTCATGTAGTGTCCTACGATTTGCGGATCCGGACACTCTAGCTTCCTGATGATCTCAAAGCTCTGGTTGAGCTGAGAAAACACATCCACAACCGAGCAGGAGAACAGAGCGTGTTCTGATGTGACCTGGAACTGTAGGGCAGAAACGGTGTGCGAGAAGATTAAAAACTGGGAATACAATAAAGGGAAAAAGGCATACGTAATTATGGATCAGTAGGGGTAGCAGACTGAGAAGCTGGGATTCAAGGGATGCTAGCAAGATGTGACCTCAGGGCATCTAAGAGCACACAGAGGGACCATTAGGTGCTATATTAAACTGGACCTTTGATATCTTTCACCACATGTACAGAGCCTCAGACCCCCTAGAGTCATCCAGTCATCCAGCCAGTTAGACAGCCATCCGGTAACAGGTGGGAGCTCCTGTCTGTCTCCTTCTAATTGGCTGCTGGTTAGCGTCTGGGCTCTAATTGGCTAGAGGTGAGTGTGTAGGTGCTCCTCAGGGGAGTCTGGGTAATGAGGTGAGGACAGCTTTCCTGCAGTCAAAACTCTGGAATAAGGCCATTAATTCACAATATCCTGCTGTCACAGAGTTATCGCCCTCCTTGAGTACATGCACGTCTCATCTACTCTTCTTTAAACTTCCAAAGAGTAGCTTTATATACGACGGAGCACTTTTGACTGAAACATCCTCACACTTTCTGCTTGTCCATGTCTGTGCCGCTGTGTCCATGCGTCTATTGTTAGCTTTGAGGAGTGCAGGAGAGGCGGGGGGAAGTGTGGGAGGCAGAGCAGGAGGGAGGATGAAACTTTGGCTGATAACTTTGAGCGTGACAGAGGAAGTACAATGGATGGATTACAGTAATTCTGCCTGAACAACAACAGCGACTCAGCGTTTCCAGAGTGAAGGAGAGATAGGGAGAAGAAGAGCTGGAAACTTTTACCCCATCTTTTTTGTCTCTCTCCAAAGCACCGTGCAGAAAGTCCCGAGACACTTCCTCATTTTCGTCCAGCCACTGAATGACAAATGGCTCAAACCACCTATGGAGAGCAGAAAATATATATGTATTTATAATATAATAGAAACCCCAAATCACACGGGATGAGGATTTTTATTGCTTTATTTTCAGTTCTCAGTATAAATATTGTAAAACATGGGCGAGTTACTACTCACGCAGGATATTCAGGCACTCTGCTCTTGAAGAAGGGCAGGTCCTTGCAGTACTCATTGTACAGCCACTTGACCTTGAAGTGCAGGTTCATGTAATCTGCACTCTTGCACAAACGATTTTTTTCATGTTCTGAGAGAAAGAATAAAGCAGACAAGTGCACGTTAGTAAAAATGACTAAAAAGCTGATTTCTCTGCAGATGTTTAAGCCATGTTCACCTTCAATTACCACAGATCTAGAGGCAAACACACATCCTCACAGACTTGCTGTAGTTAAGACCATTAAAAAAAGTGGACCAACTGCATCAATAATTTTATTACAGAAATCAAGTATTAATCAAACCTAAAAACTGTGTATGACTGTTCAGGCAGACAATTAATTAATTTCTAAAAACAAACTTGGTCTGTGAAAAGGGACATTTAGGGTTAATTTTGTAACCTTTTTTTGAACTAAATCAGATGGCAAACATCCATCTGATACGTGTTGGCTGTGTGAGTACTATTTTGCACAATCAGTCATCCTCAGTATAAAGCTTAATGGATCAGTGGCGCCATTAAGGCTAATAAACTGCATCTCCTAATACATTTGACCAATTGACACAAATTTACACATACTTAGTAATAAAAGTCTTACAATACCTTCAGCTGGAGAGGTTTACTGCATATTAGTGTGTAAGTTTGCCTGAGATTGTTGTATAAAGTCGAGAAACATTTCTACAAGAGTACAGTTGAATGGCAATTAAAACAACCTCGTCCTCTTACTGTAGTTATAACTAAACCAATGAAAACAGTAAAAAATCAATTCAACTATCTAAATTATGAGGTACAGCTGAACTCCTTCATCCTGTTTTGTGTCTGTGTGTATTCGGTCATTAGTGCCAATAGTTGATCATTTATCTCACGAGTCTTTAGTGCTTTGACAAAGCTCAGTCAGTTCAGAGGCTCAGTATTTCATTGACTTGCACTCACCCTCCATTGCATACTTCATATCCTGAGCAAACAGGTTCCACATCACTTCAGCACTGATTTTACCCACGTTGAGCTCCTGGGGAAATCTTGATGGAGGTGAGAAGGAGAAAGGCTTACTGTATATGCACTTAGGGAGAGAGGATATATGAAACCGCATAATCAGATAAGAGCCTGAAAGTGTACTTTTAGAGGTACTAAGAGAAACTGTGGAGAAGAGATAGGGTAATCAGTGTGAAATTGCAATGTCATTAAAAGGAAATATGATCATTTTAACATACAGAAGGAATACAGACACATACTGGTTTAGGCAGGGAGTGTAAGAGTTCTTGTCCTCCTCGATAATGGAGACGATAAGCGTGATGAGTTTGGACCAAAAATCTAGATTCTTGATGCTGGGTCCCTGCTCCTCCGGAGGCACAGCACCCTGTTTGGCCTGGAAAAACACAACACAACAACATTGTCACACAACTATAGTCACAAACTCTACGCAGACTTTTGTTTGGGGAGTTTAGCTTCTTTTTACTTTGTTCAGTATATGAAGAGAAGATCGGCACCTCTGGAAACATCTGTCAATCTTTGCTGTGTTGTTAATTCAACAACAGCTCAAACAGCTTTAAACAGAAAAAAATGTATGCAGAGCACCGCAGGGGTTGAAGAGTGAAGAATGATCTTGCGGAGATTTCAACAAAATATAGCAACGTCCCCCAGGATGAAATGTTTTATTCAAAGGGGAAAAAAATGCTTGTTTGAAATTCACGAGGGAGTCTGAATGGGGCTGGTGCTTTAATGAGGACTCAAAGCAAGTTCTAGAAATCCCTGTTGAAATCCAATGCAGGAGTGATGGATGGAAGAGACTGGTGTACCCAGACTGAGAGGATAATGGGGACTCACCACACACAGACTCAGGATGCGCAAGCACACACAATAGTGTCATAGTTCATTTCACACAACACTTAGGACAATACAGAAATCATGCTAAGAAGGTACAGTAATAACATTCAAAAATCATTTTGAACCAGTGATCTGATTAGTGAAGGATGATTTATGAAGAAAACTGTTGGCCAAGTTTTAAATGATTAGAGAGTCAACTCTTTCAGTGAGTTTGGAGGTAATTTATCCTACGTGTTCTCTGAACATTACAGTGGCAGATTATTGTGGCAATGTGACCAACAGTTAGCTTTTCCTTTTTAATAGTGTACTATGTAGCAATGTAAACATTTTTTGCTCTTATTTTCTTACACTTGGAATTATCATACTCATAAGACCTTTGGCAATATTGTACTTAATTATGGTCATGCCAATAAAGCCGACTAAAAATGTAAGAGATAGAGAGAATGAGACATTCACTCACACCTACACAGAAATTCAATGAATTGCTGCTTCTTACCGGATCTGTCTGATACTCGCGGCTGTACAGCTCATGACAGTTATTAAAGATGTACTCGTAGGTGGAGTTGAGGCAGGCTTTGACACAATCCTTCACTACCTGACTGGCTCTGGGTGGCGACTGGAGCTCTTGGACCTGAACACACACAGAAGAGAGAGAGAGACAGTTAAACCAGGCGAGTGCACAAGCTGACATTATTCACCAGATTCAGGAAACTTCAGGATTGTTTTCACGATGATCTTGATTACAATTAAATATGATTCTTGAAGTTCAAAAACTAGGTTAATTTAAAGATGAATATTTTAAACACCAAATTTGCAGAATTTAGCTTTTTTCATTTAAAAAAGATGTAAATAAAGTTAATTACATCCTGTATGTGTAACACATTGAACAAAACGGCAATTCAATGGATCGGTGGAGTGGATAAAATACAGAAGAAAACCAAAAATGCTTTGACAGACAAAGACGAAGGAAGGGGTGGTACCTTCATTCTGAAGAAGGTGATACTGGTGAGGAGGTCCACTGTGGACTTGAGGTCCTGCAGCCTCTCAGGACTGCTGGCAGGGAAGTTGTTCTACAGTCAGAGGAAAACAGAAAAATACAGTGAGCCACAACACATGGCATCACATCCATCCTTGTCCAGTGTGTGTTTGTCTCCGTGGGCACGATCCAACATGGCAACACAATTTTCAACACTTGTTACTGTGTGGGTGTGTAGTGTTTCCTGAATGTGTCTGTGCATGTTTTAGACGAGCTGTCCATCTAATTAACACATCCGCCCGCTTTGTTTTTACTGTTTCTCAGAAAGAAGAACAGCACAGAGAGAAAGGTAGAGAAAAGGAGGGGAGGTGGTTAATGTTCTACCATGCTGTTCGATCAGACACCATTACTGGACATCTATGATACAGTTTTCAAATCTAATACATGAGTGCAAACAGTAAGATGGGGAGAAATCTTACTCGGTACATGGACAGGTCAATCCTCAGAGAGTTGTGAAGCTGGTCTAGAAGCTTGACAAATCGTTCTTTCTGTGGGCATTACAACACACACGGTAACATTTTAACATTACCAAACACAAACAGTAATATACAAAGGTTCAGCCATTCAGCATCAGGATAACAAATGACTGCAAAATCAAAAAACAACTATTATTTTCTGTTCTGTTTACAAGATACAACCAAAAACACAATTCAGCTTTTTCCTTTTTTAAGGAAATTATGATTTTCTTTTGACAAGCCTCATTGTTGTACTAAACACAACTGCGGCACCTGTTGCATTTATTGATTCTGCAAAATGTTTCTGCAGTGACTCACTCCAAAGTTAGAAGCGGCAAAGCGGTCAGAGGCAGACACGTTGTTCGTTGCCTGGGTGGTGTGAGCGTAGTATGCATTGATGTTAGCCAGCAGGGTACTCATCACTGCAGGCACACCTGGGCACATGTACTTAGATGACAGGCAGGCAAAGTGACTGCAAAAGAGGACAGACGTCATAAGCAAACACAGGATAACGTACAGACAGCTTGATGTAAGGGAACTGCCAAGAATGTATGCAAACACTTTTTTCACAATAATGATATTCTGCAGTCAGGCTTTCAGATGATAACATACGTCATGGCCTGGTAGATGGACTCCACTCCATAACGCATGGCGAACTCATCGACTATCTCCTGGGGAGTCTCCTCAAAATAGACCTTCCATGCATCATCCCCTTTGGCATCAGGAATCTTCACCACACCGGTGTTCTGGATATCTGTCACATAGTGGAAAAGGTTCTACAGAGAGGAAAATAGTGTTAGAAAGAGCATTGATGGAGGCGTATAAACAAAAGAGGAAATAGAGAAGAGAAGAAACAAAAAGAGAAATGACAAAACTAGAGACTGTAGGTTCAGAAGTTGTGAAGTGGTTAATTGCTATTTAGAGCTTTGTCATGTTTAGGAATATAGTCTAGCCATGCTGATAAAGTGTGTGTGACCATGACTGTTTATTAATATCAATCATAAATTAATCATCACATAATATGAATGATCAATATGAAGCTTGCCTCTCTCAGCTATAATAAAAGTTTCTATATGTTTAACTGTACAAAAACAGAGCAGATTACAACTTACGATCTGATGATCTTTTAACGGCTGTGTTACATGAACAGCCATTAAATTGCATCATGAGGCCAACAAAGGTGCTGTCTTGACTACTCAACCATTAAGTGTTATTCTGCTACAAAACATTCTGAGTTGGCTACATGCTTTATGGCCACTTATGTGCAGCAATAACAGTGGTCATTTGTCTGTTAAGGTTCAGCTAATATGCTCTTTTGAGTAATGGGCCGAGTAATGACTCCATACAAGGCTGTGATTGGTCTACAATCAATCAGCAGAGTTTTCCGCAAAGAGCCAGACTAGAAATGTGTCTGATGTCTGGAAGTGGTCTTTATCTTATGAGAGCAACGCAAACTTCACGGAGTATTAACTTAAGTTTCATTTGGAATGGATCCATTCTGGAACTAAACATCAGTCAAGTGAATTAACCTGTTTGGCATGGCTCATTAGGATGACTTTGCACAGAGATACACACAGATGCACAGAGACACACAGAGGTTGGTGCTGTAAGTATATATAAGTAAGTGCTATAAACCTAAAGTAAAAGTCGCAATGCGCTAATCAAAAAAGATTCCGACATTGACTAAATATTTGATCTAAATGCCCGTTCTGCCATTAATTTACAATGTACAAATCCACATATAATAAAGGCTGTAGAGACTAAAAGGCATGGTCAGCATAATGTTGTTATGTAGACCAACGGTGGAGTGACTGCATATTGGGCCTCTAAGTAAAAACACAGGTATAAATGTGAGCTGTAAAATGGCCTAATAGAGTAAAAGTTAGAAGTATTACAGCTCTTGAATAGATGTATTGTATTGCTTTCTACTTGTTCAAACAAACAAACACACACACACACACACTGAGCTTACTTCATGCAAACAGGTGTACTGAACGTGATAGGGGGCGACCGTCTCCTCTCCTTTGATCTCTACATTAATGTGCATGCGGATAGCTCCAGACACAGCTGATTTGTCTGTACGCTTGTCTGTGAAGAGCACAAGACATACAGCAACACAGTTACCCAACTGAAAACATCTTAATCAGTGAAGTTAAGTCACTCATATAATTGCAAAGGTGAACATGGCAGTAAGAAGCTGTGGCATCAATGCGGTATGACTGACCCAGATTGTACCAGACATCCATCTCTCCGCTCAGAGTGCGGACCTCGATGATAGTCTGACCAAGGAAGTCATCTGACTCCCGCTTGAACTTCTGCTTCACACGAGATTTAATGTCGTCGTCCTCGTCCCACACTCGTACCTTGATGCGGTCTGAGGAGTTGTGACATTCACTGAACAAACAGAACCGCAGAGTCAGCCACAGCTACCAAATATAGAAGTCACACTGACAGTTGGCTAGGAAGCCCAGATGAATTACTATCATGACTCATTAAAAATCAAAAGTATAAATGAAACAAACAAACAAATCTAAATGAATTTTATTTCATAAGCAGGAAGCAGATGTTTAACTGCATCAGTGCAACAACTAGAGCTGGAAGGTTTAGTTTATTAATGGAAAATTAATAAACAAATATTAATAATCAATTGTATTTTGCAATTCATCAAGTCATTGTAAATTAAATATCTATATCTAAATATCTATTTTGGCCTAAACAAGCAATTGGGAGACATCACCTAGGGCTCTAACAAATCACAATAAGCATCTTCTTCTTCATTGGCTAAACAATAGATCGATTAACTGGAAAATAATAACCACCATATTAACTGGTAATGAAAATAATCATTATTTTCAGCTTTTACTTGTATATTTTTATATATCTTCCTAAGAGGTCTTGACTCACAAATTAAATGTCTCCTCCCAGACAGGGTTGAGGTTGCCGTATATGGTTTTGGTCCTCTTTTTGGTCTTTCCCACTTGGACAGTGACATAGGGATCACTGGAACCGGTTTTATCCTTGGCTTGTAGACCCTGGGCACACAACACTGGGAAGGAGGGAAAAAATGGCAGTCTGGTCAGCTACTGTGTGTGTGTGTGTGTGATGCAAACAGATGCCTCTTAAATCACCTGACCTTCTGCTCTACTGCCCCACAAACGCCACCTGTGCTCTCTTCATACAAACGCTAGCTTGTCTCTTTTTATAGACACAAGCACCTGACAGATGCTGTCTCCTCTGACTTTGATGCTGGTCAGCACCGTTCAAAGCGCTATACTGTACTAATCTGACTCCACTCTCACCTGTGATGCTGATCTTGGCCGACCATTTAGAGGTGCCATCGAGCACGCTCTGCTTGATCTGCTTCATGTAGGTGACATGGGTGGCCTTGACAATGTTGAACACCTCCTGAATAAGTTCGAAGATCTCGGGTTTGTTCCTCTCGCGGATCTTCATGCGGTCTTTAAGGACCATGATGATGTTCTGGGTTCGGTCCTCTGCACCATGTTTGGAGCTCTTCTCTGCTGCTCCTGGTTAGCGGGAAAATTAAGATGAGAAACAAAAGGATTACATGTGTAAAAACAAACAGAAGTGGTATCTTTTGATATAGGTTGACTTATAGTTGCCATACATACTATGATAAGAGACTGCAGAGAAGACACATTTCTACGAGGTATAGGAACATTTGAGGTTTTAATTTAAAATACAAAGCATAGAAGAAGACTGAGTAGGTGATAAAAACTTGGCCATATTTCATGAATGAGAGGCGGACACATTTGCAGAGCTATAAAATGCTGAGTAAAAGAGAGGTGGATGACAACCAAAGACAAATTGCTTTTAATATCCTCTCAAGAAAACAAGGAAAATAAGAAAGTAGGAGTGAGAGAAGGAGGAGGAGGACTCTCTGCTTGGCATTGACAAATAGAGAGAAGAAGCAATAGACGGACTAGATAGTTTACTGTTATTAATAAAATAAAGCACTCACACAGCAAGAAGTCTAAAACATAGAGTCAGCAGATGATTGTTCAGCTCCTGTCAATATGCTATATTTCACCATTCTTTCTCACCGAACACTCCGTGAACACAATCTAAGCTTTAGCTCTCATGTATCTCAGAATATCACCGGCTATGAAAAACCAATTTTATGGCGAGCAGTAAATATATAATAACACATTTAAAGTTACAGTTAAGACATTTTGGGAAACCTATTGGCTTTCTTTTCTTTAAGAGTTAGATGAGAAGATCAATATCACTCTTATGTCTCTATTAAAAAATATGACTTTTTTTACCTTTGGACAGAGCCAAGCTAGCTGTTCACCCTTTTTTTCCAGTCTTTATGCTAAGCTAAAATAACTGTCTCCTGGCTGCAGCCCTGTATTTCATTGTATTTTTGATCCAGTCTCTAATCAATACTTTCTGGGCTACAACAGGCAACAAAATTTCACTTACTTTGTAGACAATCAGCATTGAGGAGATCTTGGCACTTCTCGTGGCATTTGACCCCGCACTCGGTACAGCGCATGCCCTGTCGAGCAATACCCCACAGCAGTCCCTCGCACTCGTAGCAGTAAGTAGGCGTGGTGGCTGTCCAAACCTCAAAATTGTGTGGGGTGGTGCAGGAGATGGGATATATGAGGGCCTGGAGGGTCTTCTTGTAGACATGACTCTTCTGCAAGGGCACATGAAAGAGAAGTGAAGGGTCAGCAGAGTTGTGTGTGCACCAAAGTAACCTTTAGTACGATGTGAATTAATACTGTAAATGAGCACTGACCAGTTCTTCGTTATGCAGAGTGCTGGACGTCAGGGCTGATGTGATGCCTGCCTTCCTCGAGTTCTGAACCAAGGACTGAGTGGCGGGAGAGAGGAGGGGTCAGTTTCTCTCAACTCCCACCTCAATATCTTATTTCTTTATCAAGACATATCTGCCTACGAGGCAATGTGTATTATTACTGTCTGTCTGGCAATGTTCCCCTGAATGGTTACAGCAAAATAGAGGCGACAGCTGCAGAACCTAAAGTACTTCCTCTCATAAGAGTGAGCAATTTGCCGTTGAGACAAGAAAACTGGTATACCTTCATAACCTAAGTAAGTGTTTTGATAGCAAATGGTTTAGGCGTTACTCACCATAGCCTGTGGCAGTGCAGTGAAGGTGGGATGAACAAGGGAGAGATTTAATATTAGAAAAGGGCAAGAATTCAGGGGGGATTTCCATATAGAATTCAAAATACAAAAGAGATGTTGAGAAATTATGCATGCATTGTGCGTATACTGTATTCATTGTGATTAAACAACAATGGACATCCACAATAAAAGCATGGGGGAACCTAAGGTGTCTTCAGCTAGGACCCCACCCTGTCCGACCAATTACCTGAGACACTCTGACAAGTTGTGAGTGTGTGTGTGCATGTGTGTGCGTGTGTGTGTGTGCGCATTCGTGAAAAGTGAGAGACAGAGAGAGGAAGAGAAACATCAGTGCACCTGACTGTGACTGCCTGTTAGTGCATTGTTTCTTAATGAAGACAGTCATCTGGGCTAATTATCTGTGTGTGGTAAAGCTTGGATCTGGCGTGTTAATGGCTAGGTTAATATAAAGAGACAAACTGCCTTCGGTTCCACTCGCCTCCACAACAGGAAGTATTTTTGCATCAATAGCAAGAGAGAGAGTTTGACATTTTGACAAATACCAATGCCTTATTTGCTTTCTTGCAAAGAGTTAGAGAAGATTTAAACCATGCTCGTCTGTCTAAATATGAAGTCAGTTATCTTAGCTTAGACCGAAAACAAAAAAAGACATCTATATTGGCTCTGTCACCAACCTACCAGAACAATAAATGCTCACTAACTAGTATGTTATATTCAATTTGTTTAATCTGTACAAAAAACGAAGTATAAAAATGACAAGTTGTGGTGTTACAGGAGTTAGCCTGGTAAGCTATTTTCGGTGCTTCCGGACTTGCAGCTGCTCTATCAATCTTCTGTTCTAACTCTCAGTAAAAAGCAAACAAGGGTATTTCCAGAAATGTCACACTATTCCTTTAAGGTGATCTTTTATTTGTTTTTCCGATATTACGTGTGTCTATCCATATTCTAAACTTAATGTGTATCTATAATTTTAATAAAATTTGAGCCCTCTGTCATCAAAGCAGAAAAGTAGTAATGCAGTCCAGCCAGGCTGTCTAAACCTACAACAAACTCTAAGGAAGGGACTTGTATGAATGAGCATTCTCCAGAGGATTTATATTCCCTACAGCCTTTCCCTAACGAAGCAGTGTCAGGGAGGCATGGGGACGATGGCAGCGTGGGGTAATGAAAGGTCTGTTATATGACAGCATCTAGCAGGCATCAGTGTCAGTCAGAGGAAACCTCTGGCCTTGCCTGTGGCCCCTTTGCCCTGCAGCTTGCCCTGTCAGGCTGTAATAGCAGGGAAATGTATCGTCTGTTAGCAAAGTGGATGTAAGCGCAGTGGGCTAAAAGACAGAAAGGAAGAGCAGTAAAAAGGAGAAATGATGAAAAGAACAGAACAATGAGGCAGAGAGAATCAGATGAGAAAGAACAGCAGAGAATCAGAAGAAAAACAGGAGTAGGTTTAATAGATCAGAGTGCTGACTGCTGAGCTGAGTGATAGATGGACTGGGGAGATGTGAGACACTTAGTCAGGGGAATATAAAGAGATTAGTGCAGAAACTCACCAGATCTCTGACCAGAGGCATAGCTTTCCTCTTCCTGAGGTCTGGCATGCTGTCAATGCTATATAGAGCGCCACCCATACTGGAGAGAAAACATGCACAGAACACCAGCTATTATTTCAGCTGAAGTTATTAACTAGAACCTGGACACAACAAATCAATTAGACAATAAATGTATTGAGACATTAAGGCCATTTAGTTGGTAAGTTATAGATTTTTAATAGCCGTAGTAGTAACAGCGCCATGGTTACTTACCCTGCTGATAAAAGCAGAGAGGCTATGCCAACACTTTCTCCTCGGGCCTGAGGATAAAGAGAGACAAATGAGATTAGAAAGAGAGGAAAGCAGGGAGCCATTTGAGCCGTGGCTCGAACAATGGGAAGCATAGCATAATATAATACAGTACATAGTGCTTTTATATTGTTCTTTATACTGAAAACAACAACATTTAGAGATACTGTATGGTGTTTCATAGCAAACAGCACTATTTCATGGTGAGTGTCACTAGTAGCTGTAGCCACAATGACTGTTTCCAGAATTTACAAATGAATAATAAAACAGTGGTGCAAGTGGGAGAAAGAAAAAAAAGGGGGAGATTAGGATAGCGGTATAGCTGAGTTGTGTCTTTTCTGAGTGAGTGTGGTGATTAGTGACGTCAGCAGTGGCTTTTCTGAGTTTGAGAATCATAGTAAAAGTAGATTACAGCCAGATGGCCATCCGTGTAATCATTCTTCTAATTCTATCTGCTCTATTATTGAAAGACATGTTCTTTGTCTGCCTGTCGGTTCAAAGAATGACACACAGCATTGATACTCACGTCACACTTGTGCACAGAAATAGTCATGATTGGTATAAACGCCAGGCTTTGAAAATGACACTTAGCAGGCTTACAGCAACTTCCTATGTGTTGCTTGGCTCCCCATAAATATCTATGACCCGCACAGGATACATACAATATACATTAGATTGATTAACACACTACTGGCCACACCCACCTGAGCGTCCGCTCCAGCCATAATCAGAATGGACTACATGCAAATCGCTACGAGGATGGCAAACAACTGAAAAGAAAATAATGAAATGGCAAAACAGTACAAGGGGTAAACAGAAACTATCAAATAAACACAAGACAATATAATCCACAGCAATAACCAACTAATAACTGGGAAAAATGGTGGACCAGTCAACAAAAGCTGGAAAAAACACAGTAAAAGTAGGACATGCAGGGACTGATGCAACAAGTCAGTGAGCTCAGAGTAGTAGACTTGTAAATTAAAGCAGAACAACAACAGAGAAGACATACTGCCCTCTCTTATGAGCCCTAGCACTCACCTGTGCACACCTATTTGCTCAATGATACACTTAGAAACACACAAACAGGCTGTACCTCTTGCAGCTGCAACCGTACTCTGCTGAAAAGTCGAAGCCAGTTGGCTTTGGCTCTGGCAGGACCAGGTTCCATGATTTCCCTCTTTGGGAAGCTAAAAGAATGATTGAAGAAGGAACAACGTTTCAAAAAGTGTCAAAAAGTACAGTATCGAAAAGTAAAGATATAATGGACTAATGGCGTCGCTTTGCCTGTGCTGCCATTGCAGGCTCTCTGTGGTTTACAGTGCTGGTCTTAAGGGTTTATATTGACCAAACCAGTGTTGGTGATTGTTGGAAAGACTAACAAAGACGGTGAGTTCTAATTAATTTCAGTCCCATTGTTTTTGGTCTTTCTTTTTTTTGTGCGTTTTCTGCAAGTCATCCAACTTTGTGAAAGTGCAATACTAAATCACTGAAGTAGCCCTTTAATAGGAAGGTATAAGCATGATGTACTACATGAAGCTACTGTTGAAGTATGTACATACTGTATGCACTTAATGTTACTTGAATGACCTGCCAGATTAACTTTGTACTGAAATGTAGTTAAATGTAGTGTTGACACTGTGTGAAAGCTTATTTTTCCTTTATAAAGTTGAAACTTGTTCACCTTGGAACAGGAGGCTCCTCTGTTTTCTCTTCAGGAGCTGGAGGGACAATCTCTGCCGCGGGAGGCTGCTCAGGGGGTTGAGGTTCCTCCAGCAGAAGCTCAGACTTGGGCTCAGGCTCCATTGGCTCTGCATCTGGAATCGGGACCTGTGGTGTAGTTGTTGGGGTGGATATAGTGGTGGTAGACAGAGCTGGCTGGGTGGGTGCAAATGCAGGCTTGATGGATTCTGCACTGAAAGCGGGCGACTTGTCGTCCTGTGTGACTGGAGGTAGACCAGGAGCTGTGCTGGGTGGCTGGAGCTGATCATGGGCTGGTCGCTGCTGATGCAACGACGCCTGCTTCTCCAGCGGTGGCCTGGTGGAGGACACACCATCAGTGGGGGGCATTAAGGTGGGGGCAGTGCTTGTGGGTGTGGGGGTGTAGGGCGGCTCCTGGTCTTCGCTGAGTGTACCATCGAGTGGATACATATCTTCATCTTCCTCATAAGGCATGTCCTCCTCATCTTCGTAGTTGTACTCTCCTTCCTCCTCATAAATATCGCCCTGCTCTTCGGTATACAGCGCCCCCTCTTCCCCTCCATCTTTGAGGTAGCCTCCCTCGTCGCTGTAGACGCCTTGGGGGTCCTCGCCTTCCCAGCCTGGGGAATCCTCTTTGCCGTAGCTGACGGAGGAGTGGCAGGAGTGGTACGAGTCGTTTTCATCGTAGAACTCCGAGCCTCGCAAGCTCTCGCCGTCCTCTGGAACAAACTCCTCACTGAGCTGAGAGCTGCCTCGACTCAACTCGCCTGACGAGGCATAACGACTGTCTGTTGGACTGAGGGGGAGGGGGAGATATAGACACCTGTTACATAAACACACCCACACAGGTTTAAAGGTAAACTGGGAGAGTTCCCACACTTACACACTAAGGAGTTTGGTTGTCACATTTAAGGAATTTGTGTTGGGGCCAGGGAGGGAGACGGCTAACCAATAGGAAAAGAGGAGTGACTTTAAACCAACCAATAAGAAAACTCAGAGCAGGGGGGTTTAGGCTAGTGATGCATCTATGCAACTGCAAGGGGAAACATCTTTTTAGTAATGGAAAAGGTTACTATGGATACTAGTTCACACGCAAATTAATACAGAAACACACACCATACAAAAAGATATAAATAGACCTATTCAAATGAAAGAGAGTGAACCTGGAGAGGTTGAGGGTAATTTATTAGCCTGGCAGAACAAAAACAGTCCCTTTTCGCAGATAAATAAGTGAATAATATTTATTCTCGATGATGAATGAGGCTATTAGACACTGTGACAGACCATGAGTTAGAGAAAGATTTGAGATGCAAAAACAACTTCTTACACACACACACACACACACACACACACACTCATACTATATTGTTTTGTCTCTATTGATTACAGTCAATAATGCATGGTGCAGGAGCAGTAAAGGAGAGAAATGTATTCTGGCTTTGAGCTAGAGGGAATACATAAGTAGAGGTGAATGGACACATAAACACTCAATCACGACACCCCTGTTCTTTCCATTCATTATCTATCTCACAATCTCTCTCTCATCCAACACAAAGGCTGACACAGACAGTGACAAATGCTTGCATAATGCGCGAGTCCAAATACATGTCTGCGCTGTCTGTTAGCAATGAATAAAAAAACATGGCGAAAAACTAAGAAGAAAATGAAAATAATCTGTCTTGGCCTCTCTGCTAGTGCCCCATTATTGGGCTGAAGGCCTCCTGCTGTCTTACAAGTGGAAATTAAATGTGTATAATTACCAAGTATGGGACACCCAGAATACGACAGGGCTCTTCTTTAAGTCTCACATACAGGATGAGGCCGTAATAACCGGTTGTCGTGACAGCAGATTCACACGCATACACACACACACACACAAACACACACACACACACACACACACACACACACATATTCACAGGAGGGCTCTTCCACAAAACTCCACACCAACAATTAACCTCTCTGTCTCTATCACTTCGCCCACACACATAAACACAAAACTGCCCGCAGAAAACTTACAAGAGTTTAACAATGGTGAAGATGAGTATGATACATCATTTGTAATACTGATTCGTGATTCTTCACCAGGAACACAGTAAATATAGATGCAGGACCAGTAGTTTTCTATAAAAAAGTATAGAATATACATATACAGAGATAGGGTAAGAGCGCATGCATGCAAGCACAGCGAGCGAGGAGGACGGGACAAGTCCACCACTGACGTCACAGCGAGACGGAGTCACAGGCTGGAGCAGGAGAAGGAAGAGGAGGAGGAGTTGGAGAGGAGGTACAGAGACCCACCTATCGGACAGTGAATGCCTACTGTCTAGAGAATACTGATGACTGGTGCGCCGGCTCGACCCTGAGCCTGAGTCGATATCACTGCGCCCGTTGGTGGCCGAGTCTAAACTATCATAGCGTCTGGTAAGAGGAGCAGGGAGGGAGGTAGGGAGGAGGGGAGAGGTGGGAGAGGAGCATCAGTAGAGCTCAGTGCAAATCTTTCAAAGAAAGCTCTAACCAAACTGAGCCTCTGCAGTAGCCACTTAAAGGATAGGCTCACAGTTTTTCAAGCTTGTCTTAAACCAACAGTCAGGTGTTCATCGGAACATTGAAGCAGGTTTTTTTCATGCTGCAATCATTCCTCCTGTTCAAAGTGGCCATTAAAAGATCCCTTTCTATTGTGCTCACTATTATTTCCATTAATTACAGTGTGAGTTATTATGAGCAGCTTAACAAGGAAACTGTTTGTTGAAACATTTTGTACTAAAAAAACTGTAGCTTAACTAACTGAACTAATGGACAGCAACCCGTTTCAATGTTCATATAAATATCTAATTATTATTTAAAGACAGACTTGAGAAATTGTGACCTTATTCTTTAAGTTTCTGCACAAAGACATTTCACTAAGGTTGAGGACTTGAAGATTTCTGTTACCCATCTAAATCTAACCAAATCTTTTGATCAAACTATGTGTTTCAGCTTTTCTGAGCAATGCATGAGTTTTGATCATCTTATGCCTTTGAAAACATGTCCAAAAAACATTCAAAAATACTGCCATGTCCAGCAATTTATTTATTTTCTGCACAAGTTAGCGCAGAAGAGATTACATAGGGATTCTGATGCTCACACACTCAACATGCACACAAAAATGCAGACACGCACACACGCATTCACACATGCCCACACGCACACAAAAAACCACAAGGGCCCACTTCATACGTGACCTGTATACAAGAACAGTGTGCCCCAGCTTGTATACACTGAGGCCAGGGTTATTCTCTAGAGGAGGAGAGCACAGTGGGACAACATGTTACCATGTACAATACAGTGAAACAAAACAAAGCCACCAGGGCTGAGCTGTGGGGGCTAAATGCTGGACTCCAAATGGAGTTATTCACTAAGGAATATTTCTTTAAGATAGGAAGTGTGATTTTACATTTTCAACATTAAACAGTTTTTCCTTTTTTGGTGTTTCTCTTCATAGCCCGCCATGGTTAATCTCATGAAAAGAAAAACAATTAGTCTCAGTTGTGGGTACATAGAGCCTGTAAAGTGCTTGTTACCTCATGGCTCTGTGGTCGTAGTCCAGCTCATGGATTTCGTCGCTGTAGGACTGTCTGTACTGCTGGTGCCTCATCGGATACTGGTGCATGGAAGCGTTGGGCTGGGAGGTGGTGTAGTAGGGAGGCGGGATGCTGTTACTGGTCTCACTGCGGTAGTCGCTGTCCCTGTCGTCTACGGCGCTGTCTGGATCCTCGTCTGTTCACACAAACGCAACAGGAGACGGGACGAAGTGAGGGGGCGAGACGTGAAGAAGACGATAGGTCAGAATTGTATCATACAGTGTTTGCATAGAATATAATTGTGTTGTTCATGTTTTACCCTATAAATAATGTATTTTGGATGATTTTTAGGTGAAACACTGGAAAAATGCTAAACTGACCTTCAACAACTATTACTACTTAAAATCATTTTTATTTTTCTTTATAGATACCTGATACCTTCTGATAGATAATTCTGGTATCTTTACTACAAAGAGCACTAATTCTATATGCATGTAGCTAGCCTGAGAGGCAAGACCCAGGGCAAAAGAAAGCCTGCAACAGCACACAGTACCACTCGCTGCAGCTTTTTGTTTACTGCATGGTAATAACTGAAGGTGTCTCAGATGAGTATCAGCTCTGATCTTCTATAATCTGGACTGTGGTGGTAGGATAGTAATAACAATGTTCAGAGAGACCTGACTAAGAAAATCAAAGTGAAAGTATAAAAGTGGAAGTGGAAAGTGGAAAAAAAACCCACCACAGTTTATTTTACTGTACCTTAACTCAATTAATTCTAGTAGCTTGACTTTAAATCCGTCAGGAGAATATGGATTGGAGCTAAAAGGAAGTTCAGACAGTTTGGGGGAAAAAAAATATAGTTTTGTGGCAGCTAATGGTCTCTGAGGAAAACTACACTAGGAGATCATTACATTAAGTGAGACATGGACAATAAATACAGAATTACTTCAAGTCATTAGCCGAAGCGCATGAAAGAAACTTACTTTGCTGATCTCCCCACAGACTCCAATTACCTGTAAGGAGATAAAGGGTAGGAAAAAACAAATTAGATTTGGGCCACAAATTAAACACATCCGTTGTCTACAAGGCCAGGTAAACAAACATGTAGAGATTTACAGCCCTGAGAAGTAATCATTTTAAGATGTAAATATGGGTGCAGAGGGATCATACATGAGGTAAATCAGTGTGTATGTACATGTGTATGAGTAAAGTAAAAGCACAAGGTCTTTTAGAGAAGCTTAGATCAAAATCAGCTTTTGTGCAAAAGCTGCCGACCTTGGTGCTGCTAAGTAACGAAGAACATAAAATACACATGTGCTGTTATTACAGTATCTCTGTACAAGCATCCTACCACCAACTACCCCTCTGTCCACAGACACTTATCCAACCTGCTCCCTGTGTCATCATCACTAGACAGACAGACAGTCAGGCAGGGTGGTGTGTGTCTGACAACCTTCCGTATGTCAGTTCACATTCATCACACATCTAGCACCTATAAGTCATTCTAGTGTTCAGACAGGCTTGCATGCACGATTCGTCACATCAGCTTTCCTCTCTCCCTCCTTCCATGCTTTGCTTCATCTATCAGCCTCATTTCTACCTCCTGTCTAGTCCTGTTCTTGGTACGACTCACTGCAACGGAGCAGAGGGGGAAAGGAGAGGAAAAAGAGGAGGCCTAAAAAGGACACAGCGGGGGAAATAACAGGAGGAGGTGGATGCAGGATGTATGTTTGACACTCACAGCACTGTGTGGATGGTGCATGAAGTGGTCGTTCCTGTTCCTCTTGGTAGGCATACTGTGGGGGAAAAAAAACAACAACGGACGACATAACTTCCAGCACTTCATCTGAGGAAAATTACTGGTAAAAATATTGACTCTGGCAATTGTGCTGTTATTGGCAGAGTGTAATTAAAAAGAGGATGGGAGATAAAGAAAGAGGTGGAGAGGAAACCTTAGGAAAGGGGTTAAGAAAAAAAATACTATAAGGAGGAAGGATGAGGAAATATAAATCTTACATCTTGATCTCTCATGGCATTTAGTTGTTCAAGTTTCTTGGCCCAGTATCTGGCCTCTTCCTCTGGAATGTCTGCAGCACACAAAAAAACACTCAACAAGTTTCTCTACTCGGCACATCAAATACCTCGTGGTGAGATTGTTTTTGTCAACTGCTGTTTCCAAAGAATTCACTTTCAATCAAAAAGAGCAGCACTAATGGTAGTGTAAGTGCTGTAGTAGTAGCAGCAACCGCATTGGTAGTAAATGTAGTGGTATTAGGACTAGTAGTACTGGAAACCAATAGTTATAATGATAGTGGTCGAGACAGTAGTTGTAGTAATAGAAATTGTATTTTCCTGGTTTTTACATTGTATTGAATAAGATCCATATATCTAAACTTATGTAAAATAAACAGAACAAGTGCAGTATAAAGCTCCAGGCAGGATAAATACAACTATGATGAAAGGCCAAACCTAGTGGCAGTTCAAAGCGGGTGTCAAGCAGCAGCCGGTGAAAGGTCGGGTCTTTGGTTCCACAGATCTCATTCTCAGCCATGATCGCATTGGAGTCCAGGGTCAGCCATTGGCCTGGACCCTCCTGGAAAAGACAGAGGAAGAGGGGCAGAGAAATATATGTTACAATACTTACTGTGTGATAAACATGCCTTATATATGCTCTCCTCTGAATCTTTCTCCACACAGATTTTTATTAAACAATATACAAAGTAAAATATAAAGTAATGGTGAAAAGTATACTCTCATTATCAGGTTATAATTAGTTTTCACTAAAGTGCAAATCTCTTAACTGTACTTGGTTCCAGCACGTGACCCCCACTAAAAATAAAAGAAAAACCAAGAGGCAGATGTATTTTTGAAACGTAGAGAGAACCAGACTTGCAGTTTCACTCTGCTTCCAGCATTTGAACTGACATACTGACATCGCCTCCTGGCTGCAGCTTCATACCTGATCGATCTTCTCATCTAACTCTTGACAAGAAAGCCAATAGGCGTCTTTCATAAAAGGTTGAACTATTCCTTTAAATGAGAAAATCAGCATCCTAGATTGTGAAAAAAACTGATATGAACCTTGTCACAGTTTAACAGAAAGTTATCACTGCTGAGAACCATCAGCCTGCAGCCAACGAAATATTTACCTGCAGTAAGGGAATGAGTCCACTATTCCGTCTTAGTATCACATTTAATTATGTGGCTTAAATAACAAATTCCAGTTCCTTGTGCACAAACATAATCAATCACTGAATGTGAAATTTATTGTCGATCATGTCACTTACAGTATATTTCACAAAGGAATCAGGAGATATGTTATATCATGTAGCAGGACTACATTATAAATGAAAGCAGTATGCAGCTGGAAAACAACAAATACTGAAATATTTTTAAAAATCTAGAGCACTTACTTCAATCAATAATAACCATTAACAATAACAACAACAAAATACACACTGCCTATGCATTCCCCACTGTGACGTTTAATAATTTCCATTACTATGGCAACTCTTGCTGTTTAAATACCGTCTACTTCCTTACTGTATAGTTCTCATTTATGAACACGTAACAGCTATTGATCAGCACACAGCTGACAGTAAACAGCCACATATTTAAAAATAATTAAAAAGCTCAAGGCACTCTCCAAGTCTTACATAATGGCCTTAATTAAATTAGCATTAAAAGCTATGTGTTTTCATAACCTACATGTTATTAGATTATTTTAATAATTGCATTCACTCTGGCTGGAGTACCGGTGTACATGTGCACTAAGTGCAGCCAATAAAACCTAATGCTAGGAGACGTCTGAGTCAGAGAGAGAGGGCGTGTACCTCGTTGGACTGCCGTATGCTGCGCAGGGGGATCCATAAGGTGCCCACCATGGTGTCCCAGATCAGCCCTTTATTCCACACCTCCACTGTCAGGCCCAGATCCAGGCGGTTTATTTCGCTGCTCGACAGAAAGAGGAAGAGGCAGATAAAGAGAAATGAGTTAGGAAAAAGGTGAGGAAAGAGAGTAAGATAAAGCAGAATGTTATATAGAGCTGAGTGGAGACAGGCGTGTATACAAACAGCTCACTGTACAGAAGGGTTTCAACAAAAATACAGTCTATGCCATCAGGAGCTCCACTTAAATCTGGCGATGGATATGCACTGTGATTCAATCTGCTGAGGGAAATGAGTCATTCAGCACGAAGACGGAAAGAGCAGGTGACAGTCAACTAGGCTGCCAGCAGGATGTAAGAGAAAGCAGGATACGACAACGGGAGAGATGATTTACATTTTTCTATGACAAATTATGACAAAAGTAACCTATATGTCTAATTCTTCCATCAAGCAACACTCATATACAGTCCATATAGCCAAGGTCTGGACTAGCTAGGATTTTTAAAGTTATCACAAATCTGACTGGCAGATTATCAGATCACTAAGCATCTCTCATTGTCCAACAATGCCTCTTTTCAAGCCCACTGGCTGTCTTAAGTGAATCAAAACCTAATAATAGCTACAGCTTTGAAATGAAAATGCATCTTTCTGTTTCCTTGGGAGCTGAGGAAGTAATCTGGCAAATGGCAGAATGGTGTACTGCTTTACAAAAGGGAAAAAGGGGGCAGGAGATGGATCTAAAGAGAGGTGGTTATATTTCAGTTTAAAGATATGGCTGTAGTAGATTAAACATAAACACAGCAGGATGACAAGTCAGTTCTATCTGTTGTGTTGGAGTTATTAGGTGAAATGAATCCTGGAGGAACGCTCTACACTGGGTGTGTGAACTCTGTCTGAGCAGTTCAGACGTCCCAGGTGTTATGTCATTCCCTCACTCTTCAAAGGGAGATAGATAGAGAGGAAGCAAGAGGAAGAAAGCAAAAATAACTCCTTTTAGGAGGTATAATTGACACAGCTAACCCAGCTGACCTGTGTAGCACAACATCTGTGTGTTTTACAGCCATAATTGCAACAGCAAACATATTACACCTTGGAAATGCCTTTAAGTATAAATTAATAGACATTTCTTGCATGAAAGTCCATTTAATAATACTAACACTACTAAGAGAGCTAAATACTAAACTGATTTAGCTTTTTTTAACCTTTTTTTTTCTTTTTCTTTGTCAAATAAACTTTGATAGTCCGCCTGTATGCGCACAGTTGTTTGCCTGTCTAAAAAAGCCTTCTACCCATAAAACCACAACCATAACTTTGTGGGCCCAATGGAAGGTGACGAGAGAGCTTGTTACACTACAGGTACTCTTTAAAGGAGAGGACAGTGAGAGGGAAAAGTGACTGTCCTCCAATTAAGCAACATTGTACAGGCAGATTTACAGATCACAGGGGAAGGCACGGTGAGACGTAAGACGTGACATTGAGCGAGAAGGACTCACAACATGAAATCCTGCTCCCAGCACGGCTGACTGCCGCGCACAGCGATGGTTGTGCTCTTAACATTCTGCACCTTCAGGGTCACGTATGTGTTAAATTTCTCTGCAAAAGGTAAAATACAAATACAGTTAGTCATGCTACAACGTGTGTGTTTACATGAAACAACCTGATTAAGTAAAGATAAATAAGAAATGGATGATATCCACAGGTTGCAACTCACCTTGGGGTCCATCAAGCTTGGCTTTCTTCACTGCAAACAAATTGATAAAACACACAAGAAATTAGTCTAATTACGAACAAAGTGAGCTAAAATGTAGCATTTCTGAACATGCTAACGTGAGATTTTTCATTCTGCAAATTGAACATTCTGTGAGTTCAAAAAGGCTTTTACTCTCTAGCTCAAGTGCATGAAAGTATGGCTGACTGGTGATTGACAGGAGCCTGGCATTTTAGAGAGAGGGGAGGGGGTCCAGTCTGGGACTCTGTCCTCTTTGGGCAGAATGCCACGATCTCAATATGAAAGACTGCATCCGTTCAGCAGGAGATGTCATGATCTCTGAGTCACAAGGCCAGAAGGACAGTTTGTGCAGGTGAGAGGAAAAGGTGATGCCAGGTAGGAGAGCGGCCACATGCCTTGCTGTCGTCTCTGAATGATGTGTGTGTATGTCTTCCTGCATGGTTGACAACAGGGGGTGGTGGGTAAAAGATGGAGCAGTGCTGCTTTTTGTCTAACACAATAGATGAGGCTCTGCTGAGGTGCCACTGCCAGCTCCTCCACGCAGGGACCTCTGAAGGTACCAGACTGACTTTTAAAACCACAATGACGTCAAAAGCCTTTTTCATTCATTATTCATTCAATCCAGCACCCTGCTGCTGCCCAGCATCCCCATGTTCAGCAGTGAGGTATTAATATTCAGAGCTCTGTTTTTTTTTTTTTTTAAATCCCTGCTGATTGCTTCTTTTCACTGATGTTACATTTCAGGATAGAAATACAAGGAATAATTTAAAATCAATGTAATTGGACCTCAACAACAAACTCTCTGAGCATGTGTGCTTGGCTGCAAAAAGAATGACTTTATAATGTATGACCTACAGTCCAACTCTCTGTAAAAGAACTAAATAAATAATCACTCCCTGTTATTCAATCAAACATTATTAGGAGAGCAAAAGTGATGCTGACAAAGAAACACATTCTGAGTCATTTTTCTTAGTCAGTGACAGCAGAGCAAGCATGCTAATCATTGTGGACAAATTGGCTTTTAAAAATAGCATCAACCCAGCAAACCCTTGGGATAAAGCTTATCACTTAAATATCGGTCTGATTCATGAGGCAGGTGCCGGAGTAAGGGGTCTGGTGGAGAATGCGCTTCTTAGCCAACTTCAAAGTAAAATCCCCTTCCTGATATTTTAGCTGCTGACAATGCAGTCACGCCTAAGGGGTGAGGATGGTTCTTTTCCATGGAAGCACCAAATACACGAAGAGGCGTTCAAATTAGTTATTTCTTTGCTTTAAACGGACAGTTAATGACAGAGGCAGCTCGACTGCACCCTTGCCAACGCTCTCTTTTATACACTGTCCTCTCCAGGCCATCAGCCAGCCATCAGTCCTCTCTCTCCCTCTCACTCAATCACTCGCTCCTACAAGCTCCCCCTGCCATGTGGCAAGTATGCACGTGTGCTCCCTTTCTATCTCTTTCTCTCGTGCTCCATTAATCTCTCTGTGCAGCCGGATGCGGGCAGAGCGAGCTGCATCCCCAACACTAAAAATAACCACTTCAGTGTGACG